CTAGTCGCAAAATTTTATCGGAATTCAAAAGCAGAATATGATATTCGGCAGTGGTTATTAATAGAATCTAAGATCCGCTTTCCTCTTTATCCCAACTTATCAACCGAATATACCTTCGACTTGGTAACTGGTAGTTTTACCATTAATGCCAGAAAACAGCATCCGGTAGTTTTAAAACGTCGGGTTGTTATCCGTTGGGCAACTGAGCTACGATGGTCATATACTGTTCATTAGGTACAATTTGTGGTTAGATCTTGAGATTGTTAGTTAGGGATTTTCTTGGTGCCACTGTCAACCATTCATAAATAATATCAAGACATAATGGAACACGTTGTCAAGACTTCCATACAAGTAGCTGAAATGTCCAGATAAAGTGGTCAACTTCGGATACAACATCAACAACTAAAGAAAAATGTTGAGTTCAAACATTTGGCCATAAGCTTCTGTGTATAGGGAAATCATAGATGGATCGGTCACTGGATGGTAACCAGTGCGTGTGCCACGTCCGAAATGCTTATTGAAGTTTATCGAGTAATTGCGTAAGGTGAATAGGGTGGGAGTGTGATTCATTTTATTGAGTATTAGATGTCTGAAGTCAACAACTGGAAGTTCTACAGCTAGTTCCCAACCACATGTCTTTAGGAGCGACTTGTCAACGAGGTTCTTTCTAACAAACAACTCTTTAAAACTGTTTAGGTGTATTTTAACAGAAGAATTTATGTACGCAATGACTTTTTGACTTTGATCTGTGTATAGTCAAAACTATAGAGATGTAACTCAAGGCACGCTTAGAATTGAAATCCCAGTCCACGGTGTTATGGATCTGAATGTAATCCATGTTCTTCACGTGAGCAAGTGAAATAGGGTCGTTAACCTATACACCGAAGAAACTAATTACAATTCAATTTGAAAAAAGTACTTACTCAGTGATTTTTATCTTTCTTCAAGATGAAGTTTATAGTTGTGATTCCATCTCTAACGACTGCCACCAGCACGAAGAGCGTGAGACTTCAAGCACCATCCCATATGACCTCACGTGGACAAATACAGCTTATGAATAAATTAAAAAGATTAATTTTCACCACAAATAGTTTTCTTCGCTTAAAACGCGCTCAATTAATTCGCTTATTAAACGGTAACAACTCCAGGGGTAGACATCTTAACTGTAGTAAGTACATTCAGTATGGTGTTTTTCAAAGTTAGGCTGGTGATATCGTCTTAAAAACAAGTTCGTACTGATACTCTTACCTGAAGTCAACTGCTACTCCATCGTATTACATAACCAACCATTGTTCCTCCTGATTAGCAGTCAGAATAATGATCAATTAGTGTTGGTTTCTGAAGCCCACCAAGATGGTAAGAAGAATGGACGGGGGTTATTTGAATTTTCAGACAGACATATACTTAATCCTAGAGCAAAACCTCAATGCTAACATACTGAAAAATCATACTACATATCGGGGAAATGATTACAAAGTACTTGTGATCAAACAATCCTAAGGGGCCGAAAAATAAAGAGAGAAATGGGTTGTCTTCCATACACCCTGTCTTCAAGCAATCGACACTTATGGTATCTTGGCGTCCTAATCTGTCGATGATGAAAAACTTTTCTTTCTTTCTGATAACACTGGAGGGCACATCGTAGGGCAGTTGTAGAGGTTTTCGAACTGCATTACAGCTCATAAATATGTGTTTACAGTCCTGAAGCTTCATGTCCACTGTGTCCTTCTGCTCGGTGCACTGGTAGGTGTTGGTTGAAGTTGACGCATAAAAAGTGTACATTTTTTGGCATAGCTGTGAACATCTGAAGCAACTAGTTTGCCGAGTAGACGGAGTGTTATTCCGTAAACCAATTCTGTCGAAGTGCATTGTATGTTCACTTTGCGGATGGAGCGAATGCTGTGAAGGAATATTGGCAAAGAATCTGTCCATTTCATGTTGTCGATAGCCCTTAATGAAGCCTTAAGTCGGCGATGAAAACGTTCTACAAAACTATTAGAGGATAGGCGATAAGCAATGGTTCGAATGCTTCTGCCTCCGAAAGATCCAGAAGCTTCTTGAAAGTAACCGTTTCAGACTGTAGAAAGTTATCCAAACCGTGTCACCCGTTTTCCATGAAGACTCGAGAAACCGCTTCTGCAGTAGTGTCGCGTATTGGAATAGCTTCTGGAAAACGAGTGAAACTTTATGCGTATGAGAAGATATGAGTAGCCATGTGAGGGTGGAAGTAGACCAATGATGTCAAGATGAATGTGAGTAAAACCTTCACATCAGAAGGCTGTATGTTCATATCACGACGGGCTCCCCAATTGTAGAATACCGGTTATGTTACCATTACGCAACACTTAACCAACCCTATTTAACTCGATGTGCTTTAGTACCTGCTTAATCAGTGCCTTATTATTATTAGTCCTTTAGGTTCCTAGTGGAACATGGGGCTTAAGTAACACGTTGCCATTCCACTCCGTTCTCTGCAGTCTTTTCAACCTAGCTCTAACACTGCCCTGCGGCTTTCATTTCTTCCTCACATGATCTCTTCCATATCACCCTCGGACGCCCAACTCGTCATTTCCCACTGGAGTTCCACTCGACGGCCTGGCCTGACGCGTGATGTCCTCGAATGGGTTTCTTAGTGTATGTCCAATTTAGCCCAATCCATCTCCACTTCCTTCTTCTATATATTTGTTGGGTGATCAGTGGTTACCAGTTCCCTTGCCAGCCACCTACACTTCCTCCTTGCTCATTCCTATTATTATTCTCACCATCTCATCTCCATCTTCACTATCGAGTGAGTGTAGGCGACAGCTGTTCATGTGATGTATGTCTGCAGTTTGTTGGAAATGCTCTCCGTAACGCGCCACCTCTCTCAACCATCACATGGAAGCACTGACTGACTGACTTCACTGACATTAGTTTTCAAAATCCGAATCTTGTTCAGGCTTTATGCTGAGTGGACTACAGTGGAGTGGAGTGGAGTGGAGTAGATCTCCACACTGATTGATTTCAGATTAATGCACGAAGGCCTGTCTTGCTGTCTTTCTGATCCTGGCTGCTGTGACATCCTCATACTCATACTCATCCTCATCGTCATCTGTGCCTGAGTCGCCTGTAGTTGAAACAATCCTGCCCTGTCTAGGTATGTAGGTAGGTGTGAGAGACAACCTCATTCAGATTTCTCTCATTCATGGTGCTTGTTGTTGTTGTCGTCGTCGTTGTTGTTGGTTGGTTGGTTGGTTGGTTGATTGGTTGGGTATCTTCATCACCTCTGTCTTCTCCACGTCCACCTGAAGAAAGTTCCGTCTTTCTTCTCTGTCTCGCCCCACCTCGCCTCATCTCGCGTCATCTCACCTCGCCTCGCCTCTCCTCTCCCCTCCTGCCAACTTGTTAGTTTTCACCTGCAGATCATCGATTCTGTGAGACAACACACTAGACATAAATCATCATCGACGGTGAAATACAAATCTTATTCTGGTGTCTTTTCATTCATCAGTCCAACCAGTGTATGTCCGCCCATCTTCTCACAGCTCCTCACAGTTGTCTCTTGCATGATCCAGTTGAGTTGAGTTGAGTCTCGTTCAGTTGACCGTAGTCAGGAAGATGATGGGTGATAGTAGGCGTCAACCTCGTCTTACTCCTCTCCCCCATCTTCACTTCAAATGCATCACTGAGCTTTCCATTGTGAGTCACTTGACGTGTAGCATCATGTAGTATATAGCTGTTGTTGAATGAGGTTGATAAAGGTTTGTGGCACTATAACCGTAGTGTTGAAGCAGTTTCCAAATTACTTGTCGGTCGACGCTATCGAATGCATTTTCAAAGTGTATGAAGTTGAGGTAGAGAGTTGACTGCTATTCTACACTCTGTTCTATGATGATGCGTAGCGTAGTGTTGCAATTCGGTCTGCACATGATTTGTTCTTCTTGAAGCCAGGCAGCCTGTTCCGGTCGTAATTTCGAATGCAGACCATTTCATAGTCTCTCTCCTCAGGATGACGCGGCTTAATGTTTTGCTTGAGAAGCATGATTTCGCAGAAGTTCCTACAAAGGCTTAGGTCGCCCTTCTTTGGGTGTATGACAAGATATCCCTTCTTCCAGCCAATCGTCATGCACCTTTCTTTCCTTCCAAACGTTGTATAATAGTGGTGTGAGCATGTCCGTTGTTGTCTCTGCGTCTGTTTTCAGTGCCTTATTCAACGTAAGTGCTGATAACGAAACACAAATCAAAAAGACAATTATTCAGGAATATATTCAGAGGAGCAATATATTTCAACTGAATAAATGTGGTAAAGATTATTAAGGGAAAAGTTTATCCAACTTATCTGGCTAATCTGACTGAGCTAGGAGCTTTGAGGACGTGTGTGTTAACCAGCACAAAGAGAGCACAAAATGGTATCGAAGCCTTCTTGGATGCATACTGGTTAAAACGGAACTTAAAACATCTTAAACATCCAGAGGCAAGCGAGAAGTTTATTTAGTCGATTCAATTTATTTTAGTCCTAGTTTCATTTTGGTGCCAAAAAGATCCACAACATTTTTCTAAGAGTTTGATATCATCTAAATAATGTTATTGTAGAAGTAAATTATGTGATTAATTGTAGTGTCATCATGAGGTAGTTAGAAGCTTTGATAAAATTGTCGGCTTTGAACAATGTCACTGAGCTGAAGAGCCGATATACTCATCCTTGGTTGTATTGTAGTCTCTGAGCTGGGTTGTTTAATCGTGAAGCTCATCTTTAATGACATACAATACGTTGATGTTGAGTTGCACTTGACTTCTTGGTGTTATACCATGAATAGTGATCACTAAATCACTTCAGTTCTTCCGGTACATCATTGGTGAGCTCAACCTCAAACAATAGAAATAACTTTCGGTGTTTAGATCACTTCAACATCGCTACTGAGTACTGCTGACAAGTACAAATGATCTGCAACTAATCATTCATGTCAGTTAACATTATATATTGTATCTATCATGAATCATTTTGTTTTCTTGCCTTTCAGTTCCAGCAGTTCCTGAAAGACAACCATTAAGTTATCCTGGTGATGATTTCCACGTACCTGAAGACAAAAGACAACGTGGACGACATGGTGATGAATTTGGAAGGGAACAAGGTGATAAAAGGCGGCCAGCAGTACCCTATGATAGTGCTGCTGGTGGTGGTGGAGGTGCTATGCATCCTGATGAATATAATTACTTGGCTGAAGCTGAGAAACAGAGACCAACTGTAGACTACACGTCTGAATTATCTGATGGAAGCAGCCTTTATGGTAAAACTAGTCAAGGTTCAGCACGAAAACAACCAATTAAGAATCTGGATGAACATAGAAATAAAGGTAAGCCAAGGATGATGTTACTAGTTATGACAATAGATTTAGTTCTAGTAGAGATAGAAAGTGCAAGAAAACACTATATTAATGCTCTGAACTTCCATTGCTGATTGCTGGTGAATATAACAGCCACAACTCACTAGTCGTCTTTACAAATTTCAATGCTTCGCCTCAAAAAAAACCTTTTTATAGATCGTTCATTTACGTCAAAAATAGCAAATCCAGTTTCTTCAACCTCCTTAAAAGTTAATGAATAGTTCGTCCCCAAAGATGAGTGAGTCTAAAGGCACCCTAGAAATTGCTGAAATAACGAATGACTTTGAGGGCCAACCTAAGAATTGCTGAAATGACCGACCAGGCTTCTGTATTTCGCCTGGAAAATACTTCCCCATAAAATCAAGGAATGTAATTGACTGTCTCACCAGTTGCTAGGGGGGAATTTTAGGTAATCCTTAAAGGCACTAGAAATAACGAGTGATTTTAAAGGCCACCCTAGCAACAATTGGAACAGCCGATTAGGTTTCATCATTTTAAATGAACAGGTAGATTTTCATAAGATAGAGGAATCTGATTGGTTATTTCGTTCGGTACTAGGGTGGCCTTTACAGTCACTCCTTCAATTCATTCGTAGTTAGTCTTCACGGGCAATCGAAACAACTGATTGCTTGTTCCAGTGGTCTTCGGGATGGCTGTTCAAGCTACTCCCTTTAAGTTAATCATGCTAACCACTCACACACATTCATTTCTACCCGAAAATGTTAAGTCAGTAACTTTGAAAGGCCACCATAGCAGTAACTGAAATAGCCAATCAGACTTCTCTACTTTATGAAAATCCACCTTTTCCAGACGAAATGAAGAAACCTAATTGGTTATTTCGACCGTTGCTTGGGTGGCCTTTAAAGTTGCCTACTCCTACGATCTCCATACTCCTTTGATGAGTAGCTTTAAAGGTTAGACTAGTAAACCTGGAATAGCCAATAAAGTTTTTCTCTTTCGTGTGGAAAGGCAGATTTTTATAAAATACAGAAATCTGACTGATCTTTAGAGTCACTTATCAGTCACGTGGTCAACCGATAGTCTTTAGTAAACAAGGCAACAAAATGAACATGAATCAACCAGCATGACTGAGTGACCTTAAATGCCAGCAATAACAACAATTGAAATAACTGCTTAGACATCTTTATTTGATGAAAATCTGCCTTTCCAGATGAAATGGAGAGACCTGATTGGTTATTTTGAGCGTTGTCAATATAACAACGGCTGAGATCATTATAGTTAGGCTTCATTATTTCTACCAAGATGATAGTTTTTTCATAAAATTGTTCACTTCAATATTTGTCTAGGTGCCCTATAAAGCCACTCGTAACAGCGAAAACCGAGTAAGTCTAAAGTCCACCCTAGCACTGTCTGAAACAGATAATTCGGTTTCTTTGTTTCTGATTGAAAGGTAGATTTTCATACAATAAAGAAGTCTACATAGTCATGGTGGCCTTTAGAGTATCTCAGCTCTTAGACAACATATGATCAAGCCGTTCAAATAACCATAAGGTTGACTTAATTCACAATATGACCACTTTTTTCTAATCATCTCAGGTTTTCTGAGCACCTTAACAGAACACTGTTTATTTAGGCAAAGCTGTGAACAATTCAGTCTGTCGTATTCACACTGGCCACCTAGTCAGCACTTCTCATTCTAATCCTAATCGAGCTGAATTAGAGTGGGAAACATCATATTGATTATCAGTTTGACTACGTGAGATAGTTGTCGCTTGGCAGACTTGTACTATTGATACTGGGTGATACTGGTTCGAACCGTGCAGTCACCCAGACTTTCATTTTACCTTCATTCATCACCCAGTTTCAATCATACAAGTTTGTCGAATTGCTGCTGTCTCAGATTAATAAAACCGGTAATAGATAACTTGTAAATTAATGTTATACTAGGAAGTTGTAAACATATGCCACCTTGAAGTTTGAAGCGATGACTGAAATGTTTAGCACCTAAGTGAAATGCCAACCATTGATGCAGACACATTCAGCTGATCAATCACAAACAGAACTAGATATCTCTTGTAGATTTTACTACTAACCACTGTAAAATCCACAACACTTACCTAGAACTAAGCGCATATTCTAGTACTTGACAAATAACCTTCAAACCAAAGAGCATGAGATAGCCATTTTGCCCTAGTTCGAGACTCTTTAGGATTGCTTAACCGAAATAGAATTCACTATCATCAGATACCTTACACGTGTTAAATGTATCCTGCTTAACGGTGAACTGGAGTGTTTGGAAAAACATAAGCACAGAAAACTATACTTCTGCAACTGATATGAATTGTGATCAAAACCACCTTGAAAGCTAATTTATCAACTACTTAAATAACCAACTGGGTTTCTTCATTTCCTCTGTACAGGTGGTGTTTTTTTTATAATGGAAAGAAAATTTACTGGTTATCTCACTAGTATCTATAATGGTTTTTGGAGTCACTCAGGTATTGGTAGTCTTGATAGATCGATTGAATGACACCAGTGAATAAGAAGGTCATCTTTTCTAGATTTGGCGTTACGGTAGACTAACTTTTCAGTCATATAATATCAGTCCTGACACAGTTTCTCAATGGGAATGGTATGCTTCATGTCTTGCTCAAATTAGTTATTAGTGAGGTTCTTTACTGTCACTAACCTTGTATCCTATGGTTGCTGACGAAATCTCATCTCGGATATAGAAGGCCTGTTTGGCATTTGCCAACTTGTGTCATCTGTGGCGTCGGCGAGGTATCCGAATATCTATCAAAGGATGAGTATACTGTGTTGCAGTTCATTCTGTCCTGTTATACGCTTGCGAAACATGGCCGTAGAATTGCCTGCGTTTGGTGGAATGACCTTGTGAGGACCGTTGAAGTCAGATGAAGGGTACTAGACAAGTAAGGTGAGTCGATTGATAAAGTTGTGGAAATTCATTGACTTAGATGGCTTGGACATGTAGTGCGGAAGTTGAATTAGTTTGGAAGAGGGTCCGAAGTGACCAGATCAAGACGTGGTACCAGTCGATGAGATCTCTCACTCTTAGTCTGAGCCGTGTGGGGAGATGTAGATTTCATGCTTAGCGTCTCCGAGAGAGCTGTTCATGACAGTGTCGCAGATATACTCACTCTGACATCTTCTACAGCTTGAATATTCACACTAGTCGTCTTCTTCAAACTGTTTATTATCTCACAAGACTTCGTCTACTTTGACGTCAGTCTTTTTCTATCCACCTGTTCTTCGAATACTACTGTGAAGTATGGCAACTTGAGCTGATACACCTGTGTGCAAGGTTCTACGTTGCATTTGTTTTACAATGAGTATTACACGTTAGTTTAAAACTCATTTGTCAGGCATTAGAATACGAGCTTAGTTCTAGGTAAGTGTTGTGGATTTTACAGTGGTTAGTAGTAGAATCTACAAGAGATATCTAGTTCTGTTTGTGATTGATCAGCTGAATGTGTCTGCATCGCTCACTGTTTGGAGTTTCAGTTGGGCGGTAAACACGTCAGTGATTGCTTCAAGTTCCAAACAATTTTTTTTAGTATAGCACTAATTTAATCAAGTCATAAGAGTATGAATTTCGCTCGCATTGCACATTCATAGGTATGTTACAGTAGAGATATTTAACAGGTCATTAATTGTATGCAAGAGAGATGAAAACAAGCAAGAAAATAAACAAATAAAGGATAGTAACTTACATTATTTTCATTTTGTTTAAAATAATATTTAAAATTTAATGGCATAGTGTTCAATTGCCAATGTATACAAATTGATATTGTTCATTATTATCATCATTATCATTGTTGTTGTTTTTGAGACAGACTCTGTCAAAGTTGAACTTAATAAAAATTTAATTACGTTCATTCAATTGGTTGCTGTAACAACAAAGCATAACGTACAGTTAGTGAACATATGAAAATACATATGAACATAAGAAAAATGATGAAATTGTTCACTTTAGATTAACAGTATAAACTGTATAATGTAACTAACTTGAAGATTGACAACAGATTTTTATGAGAAAAGTGAATTTCCAACCTTCATAATGATTTATCCTCTACTTACCATGGCTAGATAGTGGATGTACTCTGCTGAGGAGTCTCATCCTAGAATGAAACATCTGTGCACTACTCCCATAGGTTTTTGATGATTTGCCAACTGATGTCAGTCATAAAGAAAAGAAGAAAAATTTTCATTTTCGACGATATTATTTTCTATTTGTATATATCACAAATATATAACAGTCGTGATGCTGATTGATGATTGAAGGTGAAGTGAGAATTTCGACTGCGGTGGGATTAGAACCAATGACCACGGGGTGTCTCGCCAGGTGATCTACTTACTGAGTTGTAAAGCCTGACCGGGCTAGAAACTTGGTGGTCTCTGGTTCGAATCCTGCCATGGTCAAAATTTTGACTTCATTCATCAGTCAGTCAGTATTAGTAGTAGTCTACCAAACGACGGCTATCTCAGATAGTCAGAATGATAATATAATTGTCAGTCATTGAACAATAGGGTATATTTGCACCCTTAAAAACTGAAATCAAGAATAGAATAGACATTGAAAATAACGAGGAAGGCCAATAATTGACAACTTCAAAATTATTGGTGGATGTGAAATGCGAATATTGAGATTGACTGTCCACTTGATAGATAGATAGATATAAAGAAGATGAAGGTGAAGGTGAAGGTGAAGAATGAGACAAGAGTTATAATGAAGGTGATAATAACAGTGAACTAACTAATTATAATGAAATCGAAACAAGATTGTGAAAGTGTTAAGACCATAGTAAGATAAGAGACTGAACATACTTCTTTTGCACACAGAGATCAGTCTCGAATTGATGAATTGCCAGTGCTTCTGCCATGTACAGCTGTCGAAGAAGTACTCCTTTTGAACTATTCCATTTGACTTGATAAATGACACTGAAGTAGGATTCTGGTGGAGTGTTGTATGTCCAGAGTTGACAAAAATG